GCCATCGTCATCATCCTCTGCCCCGACGATTGCCGCCCGTCGATTCGTCGTTGCAGAAGCTTCCCCGAGCCGCTGAGCTTCTCCCCCGATCCCTTGTGAGCTTCTACACCTTCCCCTATGCTCGCCCCCTCTGTTTCTCTCTGCTAGCCTCGATCCCCGTCGTGCCCGAGCTCGCCGTCGCCCTGCCGTGTTGCTGACATGGCCACAGCTGTCGCCGTACCCTGTTGAGCCTGCCTTTGTACTCACCATGCTCCCAGGAGCCGAACGCACGCACCAGCTCCTCCCCTAGCGCACCACAACCCCAAACCCGCAACCCACCGTGCCGCCGCCACCAAACCTCGTCGCCGGTCACTTTTCGGCCACCCCGCGGCCTCCCGTCCGGTCCTTTGGATGCGGACGAGCAAGAGCTACTCCCCGGAGCCCTCAGCTCGCCAAACCACCACCCGTAGCTCAAATCCGAGCCGAGCCGCCGTCGTTTGGGTCGCCGCCGGCAAGGCTCCGGCGACTGCCGATGTGGCCATCATTAGGGACTAATCGCGCAACAAATTAACCTCCAGTCGCTGACATTAGGGCCCCACCAGCTAAATAACCATAGGTTATTTTTTATTAGATTTAGTTAAACCAGACGGGACCCACGCGTCAGAGTTGACTTTGCTGACGTGGCGTTTGACCGGTCCCACCTGTCTGCGACCCTAACCAGCCCTTAGTCACTAACAAGCAGGCCCCACATGTCAGGTTTAACCTGGGCGGCGCCTGTTGAACTGCTGAGGTCAGCATGACGTAATGCTGACGCTATAAATTATTTTCTGGATTTAAGTTTATTCAGGGAATTCCAGGAAATGCCCAAAACTTCTAAAAATCATAGAAAATTATCTATAACTCCAAATGAAATAATTTATATATGAAAAATTATCAGAAAAATTCAAGGAATCCATCTGTACCATTTTCATGCATGTTTGAGCAAGTTAACCTCACTGTTTAGGATGAAACATGATTAGGGAAAATTTCATAATAGGTTTGGAGTTGGAATTTGATATAGTTTTGCATTCCACTTCAATTAAAATGACTTTCTGTTGCATTAGTCCAAATCACATCATATTGCCATGTAGTGATCATGCATCATATTGTGCATTGTATTGATTGTGTTCTTTCTCAGTTGTCGGTGTTTGTCCCCTCTCGGTAGACGTGTATCGACGATGTGATCGATGACACCGATGAAGAACTATATTATCTTCAGAAGTGCTAGGCAAGCAAAAAACCCTTGTTCATTCCGATACAATCCCTCTCTCTCGCTCCTGCTCTCTTTTACTGCATTAGGGCAACAACGTTTCAACTGTTACATGTTGCGGTAGCTGAACCCCTTTCCTCTGCATGACCTGTCATTGTCACAGTAAATAGATGAAACCCACTAGCATGAATAGGAGTTGTTTGAGCCCTGATGTGCCTACTCATTCATGTTTGTTTGTCATGCATGCTACTGCTTAGAGTTGAGTCAGGTCTGATTCATCGGGGATGAGTTGGAATGTGGTGAACATGTCCTACTGTTGAGAGCTAAGTGTGTGAACACGATTTGGTAAAGGTAGCGGTGAGAGGCCATGTAGGAGTACATGATGGGTTGTCTCATTGCAGCCGTCCTTAGGAACTGAGTTCTGTGTTTGTGATCCATGAATAGTTACTACCACACATTGGGCTCCGGGCGCTCCAAGCTCTCTCGACTTATTAATCAACCTGATCTTTGTCCAGGAGTTGCAACTAGCTTCTGGTGTTTGTAGGTAGTGTTAGTAGTCTACCAGGTGGCACCCGGTACAGGTGGGCTTGGGACAGACTAGGCACAGTGGCCCGGTGTACCAAGTGGCACCCGGATGGTGGGCTTGGGAACCCTGTACACATCGTTTGGGGTCGTGAGCGACACCCCGGCCGGATCTCCTTGCGGATGGAACCCGAATAGGCGATAAACCTGGACTAGAGACTTGTTGGTTAGTCAGGTCATGGCCGATTCCCTCACCAGGCTTCCGCTTGAAGGTTGCCGAGATACACGACGTGTACATGGTGGTAAGTGGCGAGAGCGTGTGTGAAGAAGTACACCCCTGCAGGGTTATCATTATCTATTCAAATAGCCGGATTCCTCGGATATGGAAACTTGGACCCCTTGCATAGTTCATAGACAAGTGAAAGTGGATACTCTAAAACTCGCAAGATAAGCGTGAGTGCTATGTATGGCGTTCTCGCAGGGAGACGGGAGCGGATCCATAGTGGTGTATTGGTATGGTGAATTTGTGGACTCGTGTGCGCCACCTCAAAAGAGTTACTTGCAGTCGTAGTTTAGGTTAGCCACTGAGTCAAAGCTGGCTTGCTGCAGTTAAACTCCACCACCCCTTTGTTGATACCGATGCATATGTAGTTAGTTCTGATGTAAGTCTTGCTGGGTACATTTGTACTCACGTTTGCTTACTTTATGTTTTGCAGAGACGTTAGTCTCGCTAGTAGTTCCGTGTGGACTTCAACGTTTAGCTTGATACCTCAGCTACGATCTTGTGCCCTCGGCAGAATCTGGTAGATAGTCAGGCTTCTCAGCCTTTTTCATTTATAGATGTCTGTACTCAAACATGTTAAGCTTCCGCATGTGCTTTGATTATATGCTATGATTGTTGGGTCAGGAGACCCATGTTTGTAATATCTCGCTCCTCGGAGCCTAATGAATAAATATTTTGAGTCGTAGAGTTTTGTTGTGATGCCATGTTGTATTTACACATATCGAGCATATTGTGTGTGTGATTGAAATACTTGGTATGTGTGGGATCCGACAACCTAGTTGTTTATCCCTGGTAGCCTCTTTTATGGGGAAATGTAGTCTTATGCTTCCATGAGCCATAGTAGTCCGCTACAGCCCGGTTCATCGGAGTCCTGCTAGCCCAGCACTACTGCTCCGGAACACTTGACTGGCCGGCATGTGATTCACTTCGTTCCTGTGTCTGTCCCTTCGGGGAAATGTCACACGGTGACATCCGGAGTCCTGCCTAGCCTGCTACAGCCCGGGTTCCCGGAGTCCTGTTAGCCCAGTGCTACAGCCTGGATTCGCATGCTGCTGACCGACATGCTCGATATTGATTCATGTATGCTTGTCCCCGTAAGTTGGTGCCACTTTGGGTTCATGACTAGTCATGTCGGCCCGGGTTCTCTGTCATATGGATGCTAGCGACACTATCATATACGTGAGCCAAAAGGCGCAAACGGTCCCGGACCATGGTAAGGCCCGTGGGAATACCGTGCGTGAGGCCGTAAAGTGATATGAGGTGTTACCGGCTAGATCGTCCGAATGCGGGTTACCTCGGGGGTAAAGCCCCGAGTCAGGGTTTGAAAGACCCCCTCCACTTTACTCCTATGGCATGGCCGACCGATTCGAACATTTAAGAGTGCTAAGCCTTCGGCTTTGTCCGTCAGAGGTACTACACCGGCTGACCCGGAAGTAACAATCACAGCGGTGCTCTCTTTGTCCGTTAGCCGAATGATTGAGAATGTAACGGGTAAGCACACGAGCAGGGCAACTCGGTTGGCAAAAATCTTAAGTTCAATCGATGCATATTTTGGCTTGAAAGACAATGTTAACTATCTTTTCGATTGCTGTGTCGTTCGTTGGAAGGTCCCTTCAAATTTGAATGTTCAGTGGTTATCGGCGTCCTTAATTAATTAATTACTCCGCGTAATAACAATTTCCTGGCAATTAAAGAATAGTCATAAATAAAATCAATTTAAACGGCTTTTCTGGATGGGTCGGAGGGAATCCAGAACCCTAGAGCCGTGTACAGCTCCTCCCCCTCTCTGCATAAGGCGGTTTGCCTAATTATACGTTTCCTTCCACTATAAGTGCGCGACACCTCCCGGCCGGCCCAGCTCACATCCGCCTCTCTCTCTCTCTCCTCGCACCGCGTCCCCTCCCTCTCCTGTCGCGTGCGCTCGGCCAGCAAAAAGGTAACCATCCGCTTTCCCCTCCCCGATTAAATCCGCGTGCTAGCTTCCTCCAAGATTTGGGGATCTTTAGGCGTCTCGTCGCGAGCTCTCGATCGCTCCGCGCTCCCGCGGTTAGTGATTCCGGAGGCCGGCGGATCTCGCAGCTGTAATAGCGGGGACTTGGGGGGATTTTGGTGCCCGGATTTGATGCGATTGGTTGTCGATTTCGTGTTCGTGGCTGCTGAGGAGTCGGGGTGGATGAGGCGATCTGTGTCGGTTTAGTTTTCGGCTGGTCAGGCTTTGGGGGGAATTTCTTATCTTGGTGATTAAAAAGATTGGGGAATTATTTTTTACGGATCGATGGTTATTCTCGCGATCTGCTCTGCTAGAACTCCGTATATAGCTTAAATTGACGCGATTCGTTCGCGTATGGGAGAACTTGGTCTCGTAGAGTCGGGGAAATGGTTAGATTCGTTGATTTGTCGCACTATGCGCATCTCGGATTCCTGTAATCCTCGGACAGTTTCGTCTCTGTTCATCTGTTTCCTGGGAGGTCTGTAGATCTGTTGAACTGCTTCGTTTTGGTCCATGAAGTTACTAGGTCTCGGCTAGGCGCGGCTAGGCGTGAGGGTACCTGATTTGCTTCGGTCCTGCATATATCGCTTTCACTTGTTATTTGTTTCTCAACATTTAATCATCATTTATTGAATGGCATGTGATGGATGTTGTGATTTTGTGCAGCTTCCACATAAAGGCCAACAAGAGAAACCATAATCTGTTGGGTGCCAGTCAAACCTCAACAACAAAGTTTCATGTCTGATCTCGACGTTACTCTGCCATCTGCCTTCGGTATGCTTCCACTACATCCATGTCTGTTGCTTCTCATGAAATAAATGCTAAATTGAACATTCTGTAGTTTGATGTATATAATTTGTCACTTTGAGCTTCTCAAAGCTTCACTGTAGTAAAAAAATTTGGAAATTTGTGTGTAGTCACCTGATCATCCTATCCTAAACAAGGGTTTGGTGTTCAATTGCTCATCGTGACCTTGTATGTACATGAGCTCTGCCTACATCTTCTCTGACATGGTTTCTTCCTTTGTAGATCCTTTTGCTGAGGCAAATGCTGAGGATGCTGGTGCAGGCCCGGGCGCAAAAGATTATGTGCATGTGCGCATCCAGCAGCGCAACGGCAGGAAGAGTCTGACCACTGTCCAGGGCCTGAAGAAGGAGTTCAGCTACAACAAGATCCTCAAGGATCTCAAGAAGGAATTCTGCTGCAATGGCACAGTAGTCCAGGATCCAGAGCTAGGCCAGGTACGATCTCAGATACTTTAACTTACTTCCATCTAGTTCTCAATTCTCTCCCGGTGTTGGTATACTGACTAGATAATTCATCTTCTGCAGGTCATTCAGCTTCAGGGTGATCAGCGTAAGAATGTTGCTACTTTCCTAGTCCAGGTATCTTCGACATCCAACAAGATGAACACCATTCATCATTCTGTTAATGTTTCTGTGCATAATCACTTGTCCCCTTTCTCCTCTGCTAGGCTGGAATTGCGAAGAAGGAGCTCATCAAGATCCACGGCTTCTAAGCTGAAGCCGCCTCCGATAAATGCCCGAACCGCCAGCCGGTTCTACTCTATATTGAAGACTTAAGGCATCTATATTGCCGCCCGCTTGTTGAACCGGTTTCTTGCTTGATGCAAGTTGTGTTGTCACCTGGTTATTATGCTGCTGCTGTACCAGCATATCAGTATGGTTTGTCTAAGATGTTGCCGACTAAATAAAAATCCGTATCGTTTGGCTATGACTCTCATTTTGGTCCCAACTTTCGTTTCCTTCCGTTGTCGTGATTGTGGATGCTTGTTTGGTTGTTCGTCTGATGAGCCTAATGTGCTGCACGCTGGTCGCTGATGTGTGGTCCGTGTCGTCTTGGCGGACCCGTAGTCGGCAGAAGCATCCGGCACGAACCAAATCTGTAGCTCGTCAGACAAGGACGAGTCGTCTGACACCACACCGCTTAGGCCTTCCACTATGTGGGCTAAAAGAGGTGTCAAAACCAGTTTTCCCTCATTTGGCACCGATGCCTTCCATAGCCTAGCCGGTGCCATAAAAATATTCCAGGGAACCGGAGCAAGTGGCTGCTCCGGTGCCCACTTCAAGCACTACAATAAAATATATTAAAGTATAACTGCCATCTCTAGAGAAGCATTCCTACCCAAACCACCACCGAGCAACATCATTCAATCCATACCAAACAGCATTCAAGTTACAGCAAACCAGAGCACCCAAATTTTCAGATGACCGTTGCACTGCAATAGAAAAATCTGTCCGTTTGGAGAATATGTCTATAAAATATACAGAACAAGCTCGTAGAAGCACAAGAAGATCTTGGAAAAACTCTCCCCCAAAACATGAAGCACTCATCTTCAAGCATGATGAACTCCTCCTTCCCACCTTCAGATGCACAGAGCCCAAATAACCTACAAAATCCACAGAGCCCAGTTAGTTTGCAGTACAATTCTAGTTTCCATCCCCATTTCTAGTTTCCATCCCCATCATCCACATATGAATTATCTACCCACACAATATATTCCCAGTTTCCAGCATCAACACCCACACCATGCAAATTTATATGCTCAAGGAGGTTACCAGCAAGTTCCATCCATACCTCCAGGCTACCATGGTGTTGCTTCCCAAGGTAACATGGGGCAGTACCCTCCAGGAGCATTTGGAGCAGGCTCAAGTAGCAGTCCAGCTTCTCCTGCTGATGCATACCTTTTCTTGGATCTGCTAGAGGCACTAGTTCAAGAGGAGATGAGAACAGTCCAGTTGGATTTAGTTCTCCCATGTCACCTGCATATCAAGTGGATGAAGATCCGACTGTCAATAATCAAGATGGCAGTGATAGTAGTCCTGATGAGATTCAGAAAAAAGGAAAAGGCAAGAACTGGAGTAAGCGTGAGGATGAACTTCTCATAGCAGCTTGGGTGCACAATTCATGTGATCCGATTGATGGAAACTCCAAAAGGGCAGAGACCTATTGGAAGGAAGTCGCAGCAGAGTACAACAAATATGCAACGAAAGAGCAGAAGAAAACAGTTGGGCAATGCAAGAACCACTGGACCAAGACCACAAAGAAGGTTACAAAGTTCAATGGTATCTACAATGTTGAAAAAAGTACATGGCCTAGTGGGAGCGATGACAAGCAACTTATGGAGAGGGTACGTGCCAAATACATGAGTGTTGCCAAGACAAAAAGACCCTTTCCATATGAGCACTGGTGGGAGTACGTGAGGAAAGAGGCTAAATGGAGAAGGTCTTATTCAGTTGAAGAGATGAACAAAAGAAACAAGTTGAATGCATCAGGAGCTTATAGTTCTCCAACCCAGGCAATAGATGAGGAAGGTGAACTTCAACGGCCCCCGAGACGCAACACTTCAAAAGACGCAAAAGATAAACAGAAGTCATCAAGCAAGTCTAAATGCTCTGGAAGCTTGACAAGTGAGAGTGTGGACAAATTTAATGAGATTCAACTAAGAAAATCAATTGCTGCAGAGAAAATGGCCGACGCCACCCTTATTCAAGCACAAGCCACAAAAGTTCAAGCAGAAGCTGAGAAAGAAAGAGTTGAAACTGAGAAGGAGAAGATAAAGGTGGACAAACTGAGCAAATACCTTGATCTTCTTCACAAAGATACTTCAGCTTATGATGATGCCCAAAAGAAAAGACATGAACAAGTTCACTTTGAAGTCAATCACAATAAGTATAACTTGGGATACTACCTAGTAGATGGCATTTATCCGGAATGGGCGACATTTGTGAAATCATCTATAAGTTCTACATGAATTCATCTTACTAATTTCTACCCCTTTCTACTTTAGTTTTCCAGTCGAGCATCTTCTTTGTAATTGTGTAATTTAGTTTACAAATTGTGGAATGAGAACATTTTATTATTATTTCTTGCTGCTAAATTTTATTATTTCTTGCTGCTAAATGCAATGTTGAACACTACCTTCAATTTTTAAGAACAGGAAACTAGCATCACTGACATTATTAACTAGTACTACACTACATGCAAGTATAGCACGTCCTAATAGACAGAGCTTCATAGGCCGAACATTACAATGTCTTAACTGAATCCAGTAAAACATTTTTGTTTGCTTCATAGGCTGAACATCACGCATCCTCACCTATGCTGCTTCGAGACCAGTAGAGGCAGCGCAGTAGTAGAAAGTAGTAGATGCAGCGCAGTAGCCGCCCATCCAGCAGTCCGGGCAGCGCTAGCCACAACATACTGCTGGCCCGCCTCCGCCTCCTGCTTCCTCCTCCTCGTCCATGGAGCTCGTCCCCCGCCGCACATCACCTCCACTAGCCGCGGCGCCTCGGAGAACCTCAACAGATTCCTCCTCTCGCGCCTCCGCTCTGCCCGGACCTTGGGCCGACGAACACCTTGCCTAGAGTAGGAGATGCGTGTCGATTTGGCCTAGATCTACGCCGGATCGAGACGAGTAGGTGACGATGGAGATGGATCTGGTCGGAGGAGAAAGGGGATTTTTTCTGGACAGAGGCGGACGAGAGGAACTCGCGTGAAGGATTGAGGAGAGGTTGGCTTGCTCAATTTCTTTATGGACGTGTGGGTCCCGCTTTCCTATGGGCTGCAAACGCACATTGTGAGGCCGGTGCCAATTTTTTTTGTAAGGGCATCGATGCCCAGTCTGCTATATTTTAGTGCACCGGGCACATAGTGGAAGGCCTTAGGGGACGCTTATCTCAAGGCGTGAGGTCGACACTGTAGTTAACCATGTGAAGTCACGGAGGGCAGCGATCTGCGCCGGCGCACCGGCGCAACGGTTCGGCCGGTCGAGCCCGAGCCGTCCGATGCGATTAGCGCGAACCGTTAGATCTGCGCGCGAGTGTGTACCGAGCCAACCGTTGCAGCAAAAAAACACATTTTGTTGCAACCGTTGTACAAACAACCACAACGAGAAAAACAGGGGAGCTGGATCCCCCGCGTCTGCCCGTCCCCGATCCACGGCGGCAGCGGCCGGATCCGCCTGTTTTAAGTTCTCCACGGCTGAATCACGTCGAGGAGGGGCTTCCCCATCTATCAAGCGGCCTTGGAATTGCTTCAACCATGTCTTACATCTGTAATGACCTCCTTGCCTCCATGGATTTGGGCTCGAGCTCCACTGCCGTTCATGGCCGAAGTCCCCTGAGGCGGCAAGGCCCTGGTGGTAGTGGACCGGTGCTGCAACGGTACTACAACCCTGGTGTGGTCTTCCAAGATGCAGCACGGCATGGCCGGGATGAAATTGATTTGGTATGATTTCCCAATTGCAACCCTAGATCCTTTTGTTCACAAAAAAATGTTGCAACATTTGATTTCAATTGATGAGCATGAGATTAAAAAGAGATGTTCTCAACGTACTTGTGTTTGATTTTTGTGTAATGTTTCTGATATGTTGTCAATTAATGGTAGCATCTTCCTGCTGTCTGCTAGTAAAATGTTACAAGTATGTGTTGCACTTGCTACGTGCTACTTGCTGGATGTTACATGCTACATCCTAAAATGCTGCATGCAGGAGTTGTTTTGGAATTGTGATTGACATGCTGCATCCACTTTTTTGTTCGCGTTTTTTGTTGGGGAACGTGTTAGGTTTCGTAGTAATTTCAAAAAAAATTTCCTACGCGCACACAGGATCATGTGATGCATAGCAACGAGAGGAGAGTGTTGTCTACGTACCCAACGCAGACCGACTGCGGAAGCAATGACACGACGTAGAGGAAGTAGTCGTACGTCTTCACGATCCAACCGATCAAGCACCGAAACTACGGCACCTCCGAGTTCGAGCACACGTTCAGCTCGATGACGATCCCCGGACTCCGATCCAGCAAAGTGTCGGGGAAGAGTTTCGTCAGCACGACGGCGTGGTGACGATCTTGATGAACTACAGCAGCAGGGCTTCGCCTAAACTCCGCTACAGTATTATCGAGGAATATGGTGGCAGGGGGCACCGCACACGGCTAAGGAATCGATCACGTGGATCAACTTGTGTCAACTTGTGTGTTTAGAGGTGCCCCTGCCTCCGTATATAAAGGAGCCAAGGGGGGAGGAGGCGCCGGCCAGGAGGAGGTGGCGCAGGAGGAGTCCTACTCCTACCGGGAGTAGGACTCCCCTCCAATCCTATTCCAACTAGGATTCCCAAGGGGGAAAGAGGGAGAGGGGTGGCCGGCCACCTCTCCTAGTCCTAATAGGACTAGGGGAAGGGGGGAGGCGCGCAGCCCCCTTGGGCTGCCCCTTTCTTCTTTCCACTAAGGCCCATGATGGCTCATATGGCTCCCGGGGGGTTCCGGTAACCTCCCGGTAACCCGGTAAAATCCCGATTTCACCCGGAACACTTCCGATGTCCAAACATAGACTTCCAATATATCAATCTTTATGTCTCGACCATTTCGAGACTCCTCGTCATGTCCGTGATCACATCCGGGACTCCGAACAACCTTCGGTACATCAAAATGCATAAACTCATAATATAACTGTCATCGTAACCTTAAGCGTGCGGACCCTACGGGTTCGAGAACAATGTAG